CCCAGCACAAAGCCCCTTTGCCTCGGCAACCGCAGGCTGCGGGTGTTGGTGGGCTCAGCTGGCAGGCAGCTCTGCTCAGCTCAGCTCAGCTCCTCCTTCACCGCCTCCTTCATCACACTCCACAAAGGCAGGAATTAGCCTGTCCGCTGCATCTCCTACCATAGATCTCTGCTGCAGAACGACTTAGGCAGGGCAAGCAGCGGGGGAAAAAAAAAGAAAAAAAAAATCTCTCGTTAGTGTTAATGTGAACACCGTAAAGCGCTTTCAACCATCACGTCTTAAATCGATGCTCTCGCATGTTTAATTCAGCGCCGTAACCCGATATGACATGGTCTGTATTCTGTTACCGCCAGATTTAGTGTGTGCATACGTACACGTGTATTTATAAACTTCGCTTTACTGTTTCTCCGTGACACCATGCAGTCAAGCCCTCTCTGGGCAGCACCTAAACCTGTCGATCACTGTGCTCATGTGATTCGTGTTACTGTTTTTTTTTTTTTTTTTCCTTGTTGTGTTCTTTCTCCGTGTGCTAACCAGTGAGGGTGATTCTGTGTGCTTGGGAGTTGCCATTCTCTGTACTGTAATGTGTTTTTTTGGGGTTCATAACGAGTTGTCCAAACCTTTTGTCTTGTTTTTGTTTTTTTTGTTTTTTTTTTCTTCTTGTCCCTCCCTCCCCACCTTCCTCCCTCCCTACCTCCCTCTTCCTCCCTCTCCTATTGTTCCCCCCTACAGGCTGTGCGTTTGTCACATTTGCTACCAGGGCAATGGCACAGAATGCAATCAAAACCATGCATCACTCTCAGACTATGGAGGTACTGTACCCCTTAGCTCCTATTTCTCACTCCCTTTTTTTTTTTTTACATTCTGCTGCCCCCTTGTGTTGGGAAAACTGATGAACTTCTCTAAGCAGACGGTATCCGGACATTGAAGAGCACAAGGCATTTGTAGATCCACTTTTTAATGAGTATTTAATTGCATCTTAATTATTATTAAGATAAAAAAACGAAATCGTTACCTCTCACATGAGAAGAAATTGAAATCAGGCAGGAGGAAGTTCTGGTAAATATAACAAATTTGCTCTCGGCTATAATAATCTGCCATCATTTAATGCCGCTGGGAAAACCGCTCCCACCATTAAGATCTAGGTTATCAGAAAATGACTTGAGACTGGAGCAGCTACCCTGATTGATTTTTTTTTTTTTTTTTTTTTTTTTTTTTTTTAAGAAACTAGGTCCATATTCTAGTTTGTGCAGGGGATTCTTTGTGGAAGTGGAGCAGCAGTAATTTGACAGCTAGCAGGTCAGCGGGCTCCCCAGTGAGGCATCACACCAAGTCTAATTAGGAGCCCAACGTATCACTCCTCCTATCTGATTAAACACGGGGGCCCACTGCTGCTCCCACTGTTGCTGCTCCTGCCATCTTTTCCCCTCATATTGAGAGAAAAGAGAAAAAAAAAAAAAAAAAAAACCTCCTGAATTTTCAGCTGCCATGCGAGGGGTTCCTGGTGCAGAAGCCATTTTTTTCCCACTCCAGCCTGGTCCCTCTCTGGCTCTCAGACTATCAAAATACTTTTTTTTTTTTTTTGTTGTTGTGCACCGCATGCCTTGTGTCCATGCGTGTCTTTAAAGTGCGTGACTGTCTGTTTTGCAAGACTTTCCCCCCCTTGTTATCGTCAACTGAGATATCTTTACATGTGTTTTTTTTTTTGTTTTTTTTTGATGTTGTCTCCATCCTTCGTCTGCTTGTCCGTGGACATGAATCAGCTCAAAGTGCTAGCAAGACTCTAGGTGTCTGCAGCATTTGTCCAAAGCTCACCGTTTTTTGGAATGTGGCCTGGCCCAGCCGTGCATGGCAGAAGTCCTCTCTGTGTGTGTGTGTGTGTTAGCTTTGAAATAAAAAATGGTCTTGAGACATTGATTATAGCCTGATCCCAATTTTTATTTAAATAAAAAAGCAACTCTTGCAACAACTGCATCCTTGCACTGGTAGATGAACTGAGTGTGTTTTGGGTTTTTTTTTTTCCCGCGTGTCATTCTTGGTGGGTCTAACGCCTGTTCTTTCCTCGTTGCTCCAGGGATGTTCTTCACCTCTGGTGGTGAAGTTTGCCGACACGCAGCGGGATAAGGAACAGAGGCGTCTGCAGCAGCAGCTCGTCCAGCAGATTCAGCAGCTCAACAACACCTCCACCTGGGGAAACCTGGCCGGCCTGAGTGCTCTCACACCACAGTACCTGGCAGTGAGTGTTAATCAAACACGCCGCACGATCCTTAATAGACACCAGAGTCGCTGCGGTTACAGGGATGCCCACGTAAAGACCCACTTTTTACAGATGCAAAGCTGTTTCAGTTTCACAAACCAAGGGATGCGAAAACACTGCTGTTACGATTATTGATGTGTTATTGATTGCCTTTTTGGAAGCGAGTCAATTGCTTGCTACCAAAATATGTAGATAAAAAGATGAAGAAGTCCTTTATTCGAGCCACAATGGGGAAAATTGACAATATTTGTAATAATAAAATCCACAAAAAAAAAAAACACATCCAGCTTAATAGAAAATGAATCCAGCTTTTACACCATTGGATTAATGCATAATATCAAAAATCAGTACTGTAGTGTTGCGGCTAATGTGATGCATTTTAAAACGTCCATTGAGCGTAATAGCTGGGTGTGGCTTTATTTTTCTAATAATAAAATCCACATATTCAATTTTGCTCTGATTTCTTTTTTTTTCTTTTTTTTTTATTGTACCGAAAAAAAATGAACACAACCTCTGTGTTTTCTCTCCACCGTCTGCAGTTACTCCAGCAGGCTTCATCTACAACCAACCAAGGAGGTTTCAATGGCATGCAGAGACTCGGAGGCAAGTTCATATTTCTTCGAGCTTGAGACGATTGTTTTTTTTTTTTTAATAATAATCCATCCTCTTAATATGGACGAGCCTGACAATTTTCGTGTCAACCGTCCAATTTGTGACTCTGCGCTGTACGCCCTCCTGACTTTGAAAATCCAATAAATCACATTAGTCTGTCAGATCAGCGACACATTAATAATCGACGCTGGTGTTCCACGGCTGTGCAGAGAAACTTTCCACCATCACCTTGACGTGGTGCAGTCGAAGCGACGTACACCTCTGTAGGTGATTAGGGTTCATTTAAACTCGCGCAGTACGAGGTTCCACATTTAACTGTCACAGATGGTTTTAATCTGACGGGGTGAACTTTATATATATATTTTTTTTTTTTTACATAATTTAGTGACGATCAAGTTGAATATGAAAAAGTTGTTTTATCAATACCAAGTAAGAACCGCATGCATGGCAGATGAGTTGAACTTCATGAAAAAGCAACGTAACTCTAAGCCCTATTTTATTTTTTTTTATTTTTTTTAAGCTAGATCTTCGATCAAGTATTAGGCAGCACGCACTGTCTGACAACTTTTATTTCAATCTCTGGTTCTATTTTGATTTCCTGGTAGCCCTTAACAACACTTTGGATTTGCAACTGCGTCATAAAGTTTGCCTGTCTTTGTTGAGATGATGCCTCTAAAAAATCTGAATCTCTCGGAAGTGAGATCCCCCCCGCCCCCCAAACGGCATCTTTTCTAACAACGTCATTGATTCTGTTGTTGCTCCTTCTTCTAATTCAACACCGCAGATACTGATGCTTTAAAAAAAAAAAAGACTCGTAACAACGAATTTGGGACTTTTTCGGTGTCTTCACTGTCCTTTTCGTGCCACGTTCATTGCGTTCATTAATAAGCACCCGGTTCTCCTTCGACTCTGCAGGAGTGAATCCCCTTCAACTGCAGAACCTGGCCACACTGGCTGCGGCTGCGGCTGCAGCTCAGAGTTCTGCCAGCCCCACTGCCACCAGTGCTCTGTCTGCTAGCAGTGCAGCTCTGGGAGCCCTGGCCAGCCCAGGTAACGAGTCATTAACCTTTCATATGTGCTGTTCACATGTCCACCCTAATGTAGATGACAGTTTTTTTTTGGATATTTTCAACAGATTTCTTTTTTTTATAAATCTAAGCTTGTTGACCTTGTTTGCTCATAATTGCCATCATATCTTGCATTTTTTTTTTTTTTGCTGCATTTAACCTTTAACTACATGTCAACATTAAAAACCTCCTCACCCGTGGTGATGCGGATGATCATAACCCAGCGCTCGCGCCTCTCTAATGGTACCCAACGAGAGCTCCGCTAACCTCCCACGATCCACAGCGGGCCATCAGCCGCTGATTTTATGGGACTGAATTATGCCGGTATAAAATTTTACGAGAGCCCTTATTTTCCCTTTTTCATTTCTGTAGCCAATGTATATACATTGGCTCCATCTGTCTGAGTTTAGCAGATTGCTGCCCCGGGGGGTAATGACCGCTCTCATTAAGAGGCGGGCTTGTAACTGCCCCCCCCCCTCGCTGCTGTGTCATCCTCTCGTAACAGTGTGATGCCAGCCGTTTAACCGTGATAGAGGTGTTTTTTTTTTTCTCCTCCTCGAGTCTCTCACGCTCGGCTTGATCCCTAATGTCCGTGTTCATTGTGTCTCAACAGCTGGTTCAACAGCAGGCTCCAGTGCCGGCGCGGCCATGAACACCTTGGCGTCTCTGGGCACCCTGCAGGGCCTCACTGGGACCTCGATGGGCCTCAACAACCTCAACGCTCTCACCAGTAGCGTAAGCGGTGAGTTTTTTGAGTCCACTAATCACACATCGCATGGGTACGCACTCCGATTGGATTGTCCTTCGGTGATGTCAAGTCCTGTCAGTGAACAGTGACGTCGCGATGACGGTGAACATCAAAAACAAATAGG